GGGGTTGGGGGAGGCAGGGCGCGGGGAGCAGGGAGGGTTGGGGGTTTTGAAGGGGGAAGTCAGGGGGCAGGAAGTAGGAGGGAGTGGATGGGGGCAGGACTAGGGCAGGGGCAGGGCTCCCTGAGTGCACACCCTAATGAAATGGGCTGCGCACACCTATGCGCACATCCCTTCTATCCCCCACCCTCTGTCCCCCAATAGACCTGGCCCCCAGCTGCCGAGCCCTCCTGCTCCCTGCAGCAAGACCTGTCCCCTCTCCCGACTCTGTCTGTCTGTCTCTTTCCCCCACTCATCTTGCTGCTTATTGTCAGGATCTTAACGGGAAGCGATTACGTTGCTGTGGAGAGAGGTGTCATCAAGGGACCCGTCACTTGTGGCTTGAGCGGTAGCCAGTGAAGTCAGACGCCAGAAAGGTCTGTCCTTGGGAGGAGTGATGCAGACCCCACCCCACCCCTCCTTGGAAAACCCCTCTCCATGGTCTTCCCGCTGGACTCACTTCTTGCTCAGACTCCCTCCCCCAGCATCTCTGCCCCCTGGAGCCCTCTCCCCCATAAACCTTCCAAAATCTCCTCCCCCTTCCCAATCCTGTAATCTCCTCTCTCCCAAAAGACCCCCCAACACCCATGCAGAATATCCCACCTCCAGGACATTCCCCTTCTCTGGAATCTTCTGATCCTTGCCTCACGCAGAAATTACCCAGGGATTACCCTCCCAAGAGTCAACCCTGGAACCCTCCCCCTTCCCCAATATCTCCTCTAAAATCCTGGACCCCTCCTCTCTGCAGCAGTCCTTCTTTGGAGACCCCCCACCCAACACTTTCAGCATAGTGCCCTACCAGAACAGGGCTGCCACTCTCCCCTACCCTCTTCCCCTATCAGACGCCCACTCCAGATCTCTCCTAATGCCACTGGGATCTCCCTCTCCCTCATATCCTCACTGGACTCCCCTTGCCCCAAACTTCAGATCTTCAGAATCTATTTGTCATCCTCTACATCAAACTTGGGCAACAGTTGTTATTTTTCTAAAGTAGTGAACTGAACTGTTTGAGTGTCTGGGGTTGTTTATGCATGGCAGGGTGTGTGGGTGACAGATGTACTGTGTGTCAGTGTGTGTGTTAGGGGGAGCGCATCAGTGTCCACGCTCTGTGTGTCAAAGTGTATGTGCTTCTGAGTGTGTATTTGGATGTGTTGCTGTGTGTATTTGGGGATGTCTGTGGAAATGTTTACGTTTCTATGCAGGACAAAAAAGCACCGACGAAAGAACACCTACGAAAGAGCGCATTCCGATACAGGTATCTCCAAATAATTTTTGAGCGGTGTCATTTTCTTCTGGACAAGCTTCGCAGCCTCCTTGCAAGTGCGGAGCTAGTGCTGCGGGCTTCTCCTTCATTCATTTATAACCCGACCTGCCTGATGATGTCATCAGCGCAGCCAGGTCCAATCCAGCCCCCTGTTTAGCAGGAATCTTGACTTGTTCTCACTTCGCAGGAACAAATGACACATCAGTGGGACTTGCTTTTTTCGTGCAGGAAAGCCCCTGGTACTGGGCAGTAGCTTCAATCACATAATCAAATGCGGTAGAAACATCCTCTGTACACTTGTAACACTTACCACTACAGCATTAGTCAATCTTGTAACATGTGAATCCCTTGCAAGAGCCAAGAGGCCCGCATTATTTTTTAAACATTTTGTCTTCGCCCTTTTGTCGGCGCCTTTTTTTTTTAAATCGGTTGACATGTACACTCACTCACCCAGGCACCCACACAAGCACGCATATTCATAAGAATTGTTTTCTGCAGTGTAAACAAATGCTGAACCCTTTGGATAATTTGAAATAGTTCAGTTTGTTTGATTACTTCTTAGTGTGCAGATTGTTTTTGCTTCTCCTATACTTTTGAATAAAGTGGCACCTTTTCAACAAATCATTTAACACTTTGCTGACCAAATTCGACGGGCGTCAAATTCATAGAGCTGTGAAATTGACCTGGCTGCCCTGTAGACAGTTTTTGAAATAATCCACATTTTAAAAACAATCGTATATTGTTCATATTTATTTTATTTGTTTCTGATAAGGGATGGATAAGCACACTAAGAAGAAGAAACTATCCAGAAAGAAAGATGGGACAGAAAGAAGATGAAGGAAGATGCAAATTGAGTAAAAGAATCATCAAAATATGTGAAGTTGGAGGCCTACTTTTCATTCGATACGCCCAAGACATCTTTTGCACCAGAGGTGGAACATTCTGAAGACTTGCTACCTACCTTCAGCCCAGGAGCTGGAGACAGTGCCCCGGCCGTTGCGGCTTCACCAGAGATAAAACCCTCTGAAGACTTGCTAGTACTCACCTTCAACCTAGGAGATGGTTACAGCATCTGGGCTGCTGCGGCTGCACAGGTAGTGGAAGTGGAGTCCTCAGAAGACCTGATTACTTCAGCAGACTATCATTCAGAGGACAAGAATGACACAGTAAGACTCTGTGCTATCGTTGACACACATAGGGAATACCCAACAGATCCACACTTGTTTTGTGACACACCTGTAATACCTGATCTAGTATGTGCTCTGCTTGAGTCAGGCCCTTGTCAGCCAGGACGTAAAGATAATTTTGACAATTTTCCAAAAGATGAAGCTGGACGTCATTTCAGTGCAACTTGGTACAAACAAAAACAAGTGAAAAGTGTTTGTACAATTGATCGGCACTGGCTGGTTTACTCACCAAAAGCAAACACTATGATTTGTTTTGCTTGTTGGTTTTTTGCAAATCGGTCGGATGCTTGGAGTGATCCAAAAACTGGTTGCAAGAAATTTGCTAAAGGTACGCACAAAATTGAAAAACATGAAAAAAATGAAAATCACAAAAAAGCAAAGAAAGAACTTTTCCTTACCAAATTCAGTTTGTTCAATGATAGACCTGTCTTGGCTGGTCTTCTAATGGTGGAAAGGAAAGAGATAGAAAAAAATAGGATGATTTTACGACGTATTATAGATGCAGTTCTCTTTTTGGGAATTCAGGGATTGGCTTTCCGCGGTCATCGCGAGTATCGAGGTTTAGGTTCCCCAAGAACAAATGAAGGCAATTTTTTGGAACTTATTAAGCTGTTGGCTAAAAATGATACATTACTGGAACAACATTTATTACTGAGTGATCGAAATGCAACATATCTCAGTCCTGACATACAAAATGATCTGATACAGTCCTTATCAGCCGCTCTTCTATCAAAGATAGTAGCTGAAATCAAAGTAGCTAAGTACTTTGCCACAATTGTTGACTCTACTATTGATATCAGCAGAACTGATCAATTTTCTTTATCCTTACGCTATGTAACAGTAAACGGTGATATAGTGGAACAATTTATACAATTCAGCGAATTACCTGGAGCTGAAGATTTCTTCAACATTGTCTTCAGCAATCAAAAACTTGGGGCTGTCAATAACTATGTGTTACGGTCAGTCTTACGATGGAGCAAGCACCATGTCGGGTGAAATATCGGGTCTCCAAACTAGGATATGGGAAATTGCTCCAAATGCACTCTTTACGCACTGCTGTGCGCATAATTGTAATTTAATTCCGATTGATGCATTAAGCACCAATATTAAAACTCTTTTGTTTTTTGGAACTCTAAAAAGTCTGTATACTTTTTTTTTCTGGCAGTTTACCTCGTCTTTCAATACTAAAAGAAGAACAATGCAATCCTATTGACTCTTTCACATTAACTCTAAAGAAACTTTGTGATACCAGATGGGCGTCTAGAAAGTCAGCAGTGGAGGCAGTCTTGCAAAATTTACCAGCACTAGTAATTGCCCTGCAAAGAATTGTGGATGGTGAGATAAAAATCTGTACTCCTAAACAGCTCACTGAGGCAAAGGGTATTCTGGCAACACTCAATACTTACGAATTCTTAGTTCTTCTTATATTCTGGAGTAAAGTGCTAGAGAAGGCTTTCCATTTATCCACATATTTACAGAAAAGTAGTCTAGATCTG